AAAAAATAAGAACCAAGAGAGATTATGTAAAGGTGCAAATTTCCAATGATGAAAGTCATTATATTGTATACCTAAAATGTACCAATAAAATTAATTAAAAAGAAAAAGAATTATCTGGCCATATGTGGAATTGTGGAGAAACCATGGTCCACATACTTGCTTTAAAGAGATGCAGATCTGTAGCTTTTATTAGATTCTCAGTGAAATCTAGAAATTTACGAAGATTAAGAAACACTATCAAGTAGTCAAAATCATGGATTACAGAGTGGCCCAGACCTAGTTCAGTATTTCTTATAGAAGCATGACTTGGAGCAATTCATTTAACCTCCTAATCCTCAATTTCCTCCTTTATAAAATGTACAGGGTTGCTCTAAGGATTATACTGCCTCATGCATCAAAAGGATTTAACATAATAATTATACAGAGTAAAAGCTCATTTAGTAATTGTTATTAATATTTGTTGTGCTCTTAATCATCTTAGAATTCTGATTTGGAACCAACATTACATGGTAAGTACATATTCTTAATTCTCAAAACAGGGAGAGTTGGTAATACCAGTACCCTTTCATAAGTCAATGTATTTGAGCTTCTGTGTTCCTATCTCCTAAGTAGGAGGAAGAAGTGAATGGGAAAATGTATGCATAAGGACTCTCCTGTACTGGGTGTTCAGAAAGGGGAGATGCAGTACTCAAGTATTTATTCTTCAAGCTCCCAGTTCTTCTGACTGATACAGCCAGGGCATGAGGTTTAAGCTATTCTAGCCCTTTGAAAAGATCTAACCTCATAGCAGTTGTTTTCTCTGAGAGTCTTGAGGAAGTTACTATTTGTCTCTACTCTCCTCTTCCTTTTTAAGCTTTCTTTTGTTCTCTTTAGGAGTTTCCTTTACTTCTCGACTGATAATGGATAGAGTTGGTTATAGGTAGTGCCAAAGATGGGGAGTATCATTTTGGTCTTTTTGCTTAGGATTCTGATGGGAATGAGGTGGGGAAAAAAATGAGATTTTTTTTTTTTTCCTTAACAAGTGCAAGCATAATCCAGCATGAAATAAGCTAGAATTACTAAATAACTTTCTTGAATAGTTGAATGCACTTATATAAGGTTAGTTGAGAGTCCTTAGTTTCATGCTTTAGTATTTACTTGAATGTAATGTTAACAAAAAAAATCATAAAAGCTTATTTTCATGTCAACACTGTTCCAAAGCAATAAGATATAACATGATTTTGCGGGATATTTGGTAAGTTTGTGTAATGAGCTCCTCATTGAATGAACTTCATTAAGACTAGACAAAGACATGCAAGTACAGGTGGGGCACTTAATGGGTAGACGGTTTGGCTTCCTCCTCCAGCTTTCTCCCTTGCTCTGCCAGCCCCCTCCCCACAGCTTCTTGTCTCCATACTGTCTACATATATCTCTGAATTTCATATAATATTCTTTTCTGAAAACCGTCTGTGGCATATTGTCCTCTCTGGTTTTGCAAGTGTTGTCTTTGGGGACAGTCATTATCATTTGTATAGAAAACAAAATGATTTAATGAATGGTGAACATTGGAAAATTCAGAATTTAGACTATTATGTTCCAACTCTGACCTTAACTAGCTGAGCATATTCTAATATATATGGAAGTGCCTTTTCTTAATAGATAGCAGATCAATGGTTTCTCATCTTCTTTGGGTATTATAGTATTTATCTGTAAATGGAAGAGGTTGGACAAGACGACCTCTAAAGACCCTTCTGGCTCTAAGTTCTGTGATTATATTCTAAATGTTAGGACAATATGGGGCTTATGAGCATTGCCATTAATGAAATTACCCATCATTTATCTTATAAAGGAAAGGGACACACCAATAGTAGCAGGACAGCCACGCTTGAAAATGAGAATGTGTGGGTTTTTATTTTGCCTACAACTCTCTAGCGATGCTTGTGATAAATGAAAATGTCTTAAAAAAAAATTCCAGCTGCCCTGGGGTGACCTGATCTGTACTTTTGTTTTGGACTAGGTTACAGTAAACATCTCCTACTTGAATATAATTCTGCATGCTTGAGACTTATAATGTGGCTAATAATGAAAGTTTGTGCTTAATAGAGGTTGATAAGCAATTTTACAAAAAAAAAAAAAAAAATGATCTTCTCACCTCTTCTCTCTTGTCTACCTCTTCAGTCTGACCTTGACCCGTACTTCAGAGTGAAGCCTCTCAAGAGGTTGCCGGGTGAGCTTTCACACAGATTTCATTCCTTCCATGTCTTTCAATCTTTATCTTTTTTCATCCTGTCAGAGCAGATGTGTTGTCCTGCCAAGACTGTGCCCCTAAAGCGGAACATTATATCTTATTTCCTGTTAACAGCACTTGGAGCTTGATCCAACCCCTCTGTTTCCTTTTCCTCTTTAAAAATCACACATTTGTTTCTAGCCATCCTAAAAGATGTGTTTTTTCAGTACCGGGGATTGACCACACAGCCTTTCACAATCTAAGCAAGTGCTCTGCCACTGAGCTACACTCGAAGTCCTTTGCATTGTATTGTATTGTATTGTATTGTATTGTATTGTATTGTATTGTATTGTATTGTATTGTATGACAGGTCTTGCTAAGTTGCCTAGGCTGGCATTGAACTTCCAGTCCTTCTGCCTCAGCCTCCCAAGTAGCTAGGATTACAGGTTTGCACCACTAAGTCCAGGCTAAAAGATGGTTAGTGAAAAGTTTCAGCCCCGTCATCTTCCATCCTATGATAAAACAGAATTAATTTGTTTCTCTAGTTGTGCCTCACCTCACTTTATGGGACTAAACCATTAAGGTTGTTTATGTTTTACCCTGTTTCAAGGGGCCTTAATTTTATTCTTTTATGTGCCTCACTAAAAATTGGATAACAGAGGTGTTTTTTTTTTTCCTATTTAACCTTTCCTGTAAATCTCGTTTTCAGACTTGCTACAAATTAGAGTAAAAGTTAGGTGAAATGGGAAAAGAGAGAGGGAAAGAGGAAGGGAGGGATGGGCCATGCAGCTCTGTGGAGACATCCACTTACACACTTTATGTCTCTCAGTCTACACCCTTATTGCCCTGCCATCTCTATTTTGTCCTGGAGTAGACATAGCCTACTCCAGTGCTACACGGCCTCCCCAGTGCTACATAGCCAGCAATGGTGTGTGCTGTGCATCTGGCCAAGGGCATTTGCCCTCTGGAACCATAGCATTCCCCTCTCTTCTTTCAGTGGAGGGACTTCTCTGGCCATTTACTATGCTCTAGCCCAAGCTTGTGGACCCGTCTACGGGATTTTTCTCCTGAGGCGGTGCAGTTGCTTCCTATTGTTCATGCCATGTGTTCTCTGTCCATTTCTTTGGGAAGATTTTTTTTTCTATTTCATCTCATTCTGTTAATTTGAAGGTGAATCTCATACATTTTTCATCACAAAAACTATTTTCCTTTCCCTGGCTTAGTGTTGTACAAGTGTAATCAAGAGGAAGTAGCAAAGAGAGTTGTGCTAGAAAGACGAAAAGACCAAGGTTTGTGAAACCTAAAGTTTGATCAGTTTTGTCTGACTTGCTTTTGAGACCTGGGATGAGTTACAGTACTGCCCTGATTCTGTTTTCTTTTGCCTATAAATTGCCTATAAAACAAGAATCACCTTACCTTATTGGGTTTTACGAGAATCACTAGAGGTAGTTTATGAAAGAATGCTTTGTCAAGGTAAATTATTGTACATACCTACTGTCAATTCTGTTCAGTGTACTAGTAGCAGCAGCAGTATGATCATGTTCCAAATTGTATCTGTACATCACAGAGGTTTCCACCTGAGTGTGAGTGAAATCGATGCAGGGAGTGTCTCCACTCTAGCTTTGAAGTACTCTTCCTCCCAGGCTGCCCTGTGGAGAGATGCCCTGTGTTCTCCCCGGCAGAGATGACATCCTAGTTTATTAGCTACTTCTCTGGACCCCAGATCATGAGGGGATTTGGCTGAAGAAGACTCTTGTGTCAATGTGATGGAGACTACCATCTGGGCTGACTATGCACAGACGGAGTTTCTTTGTGCTTTCTGGTAAACAGTGTTCCTTCCAGAAGAAGCTGGCTGATCAGCCAGAGTCCCTGAGAAAGCTTGACAATTTCATTTTTCAAGCTTTTCTAGAGAAGACATAGGGGTAAATTCGTCCTTCACTACACACCACTGTGTTCTTTTACAGACTAGCAGACTAGCAACTTTCTGCTTGTGACAGAGGAAATTACATGAGGATTTTTCTTTTAGCACCATTCAATAGAACTAGCAATGATTATAGGAAACACATTACTACTGTCAAGCATGCAACATTTAAGCATACTATCTCCCTATACCCAAAAAAGCAAATCAAGAGATATGACTACCTGTTTTTGTTTCTAAACCTCCTTCACTTGCATGAACATAGTTTCTACCACAGCAAATAGCAGAATCAGGCTAGACTAGTATGTTTACCAAAGACTTAGGTAAGAGGCATTGTACAAATGTCTAAATTATTGCAGCTCAAGACTCTAAGGTCTCTTAAAAATACTTTCATACAATTCATTATTGTTAGTATTTGTGGCTCTTTGATAAGCTCCAGAACCTTTTTCTGCCATAGAAAATAAATCATTCCTAAGAGCTAATAGCTAAGGGGTTTTTTTTTCATTTTTACACTTGAACTTTTCCCTAAAACAGTGACATGTCATCACCATGATTAATTCTGTTTAATATTGCTTTTCTTTCCTCTGCCTTAGGATGGTCGTCTGCGAATGAATGACCAGCTTATTGCAGTTAATGGGGAATCTCTTCTGGGAAAGTCCAACCACGAAGCTATGGAAACACTTAGACGATCGATGTCTATGGAAGGAAACATCCGAGGGATGATCCAATTGGTGATTCTGAGAAGACCAGAGAGACCAACAGAGGTGATACGAATCTTGATTTTCCTCAACAAACTGCCCAAATGGCCACATGAACGTGCAGACATCCACAACTAGTGTGGTAGCTCAACTCACAGTGATTCTGCAGTTGGGAAAATATGCCTCAGATGACTCTGATGGATTAATGTGTGGAACAGGTGGTTATATAGGTTAGGTATAACTAGATGGTATAAAAATGTGCATATAAAGTAAATCATTTATCAAATATAACAGGGCCCTATTATCTAGATTTTTTTTTTCCTCTAGAAATTTCTAGAGCTCTGGACTTATTCATAAACTTCTTTGTGTACTTTTAGGTTGATATGCTAGCAGTGCCCATACCTTAGAAAGTTCTTAGTCAGATGTACACGTCAGTATTTAATACGAAGATCATAGTAATACAGTCAGCTCTCCACATTCTCTATACTCTATAGACAATACAAACTTGAGATTTAACTAATTTAAATGTCATCCATTCAGCAAGCTGCTTGTTCGTGTTATTAAATAAAAGGAAGTCTTCTTTTCTGAAATCTTTCATCATAATCTCTTTATGTATGGTTTTAATATCAGAAATATTTTCACTTATGTGATATGTAGGTATAAAATATTCTTGTTTACCAATTTTCCTGAACATTTCCTTCACATAAAACTCTAAATATAAAATATTCTTAAAACATTATATTTTCTAATTATTAAATACTCCTATTAGGGAAAAAAATAAAAATTTAATAATATAAAAGTTAAGAAAAATTTTAGCCAATCTCACAATATCATATGAGGATGTTATTCTCTTTACAGCCAAAATATGTTTGTAAAATACAGTATTATGCAGACTGACATAGAATATTATTAAAAGCACTACAGTTAAATATTAATTTTAATTTTAATAACAATTCAACTTAAAACTTAAAAAGTGTTTAACTTCTTCCTTTCTTATCTTTATTCCTTTTATTTCTTTCTCTTTTCCAATTGCTGTGGCTAATGTTTCCAGAACTATATTGAACAGGAGTGGTGATAATGGGCATCCTTGTCTTGTTCCTTTCATTTAGCATGAAAGTTTTCAATTTTTGACCATTTAGTATGATGTTGGCATTGGTTTCTCATAGATAGTCTTAATCAGGTTGAGATAAAGACCTTCTATTCCAAATTTTTGTAAGGTTTTGGTCATAAATGAGTGTTAGATTTTGTCGAATGCTTTTTCTACATCTATTGAGATGATCATATGGTTTTTGTCCTTGACTCTGTTATTAGTATATTACATTTATTGATTTACATATGTTGAACCATCCTTGCATCCCTGGGATAAATCCGACTTGGTCAGGGTGTATGATCTTCTTGATGACCCTCTGTATTCTGTTTACCAGTATCTTGTTGAGGATTTTTGCATCTATGTTCATTAGGGAGATTGGCCTGTAGTTCTCTTTTTTGGTTGGATCTTTCCCTGGCTTTGGAATCAAAGTAACACTTGCTTCCAGCAATGAATTTGGAAGCCTTGCTTCCCTTTCAATTTCCTTGATGAGTTTAAAGAGTAATGGGGGTAGTTCTTTTTTAAATGTCTTATAGAATTCAGCAGTGAAGCCATCAGGACCTGGGCTTTTATTTATTGGTAAATTTTTTATTACATTTTCAATTTCACTGATTGTAATTGCAGTGTTTAGAATTTCTATATCTTCTTCATTTAACTTTGGCAATTCATATGTATCTTGGAGTCTGTCCATTTCTTCTGTGTTTTACATTTTATTATAGTACAGGTTCTTGAAGTAGGTACTGATGATCCTCTGGATTTCTGCTGGGTCTGTTGTGACTTCACCTTTTTCATTCTTAATTGCATAGATTTGAGCCTTTTCTTTCCTTATTTTGATAAGGTTGGCTAAAGGTTTATCAATTTTATTTATTCTTTTGAAAAACCAACTCTTTGATTCATTGATTTTTTGTATCATTCTCTTGGTCTCCATTGCATTGATTTCTGCTCTGATCTTTATAATTTCCTCTCTTGTACAAGCTTTGGGTTTGTTGTGCTCTTCTTTTTCTAGGAGCTTGAGGTTCTGCATTAGGTTATTTATTTGAGTTCTCTCTGTTTTCCTAATATGGGCATTCAGTGCTATGAATTTCCCACATAGAACTGCTTTCCTTGTGTCCCATAGATTCCTGTATGTTGTACTGGCATTATAATTTACTTGTAGAAACTGTCTAATTTCTTCTTTAATTTCCTCTGGATTTCAACCTGCCCATACCTATCACCATTAACTAAAAACTAGACCCATACCTATCATCATGCACTGAACTAAGAGCAAAGTGGATTAAAGATCTAAATATTAAGACAGAAACACTAAACTTGCTGGAAGATAAGTTAGGTAGAACTCTTGAAGACATTGGCATAGGAAAAGACTTTATGAACAAAACCTCAGTAGCATGGGAACTAGCAGAAAGAATCAACAACCTGGATCTCATCTTATTGAAAAGCTTCTGCACTGCAAGAGAAACCACCAACAGAGCTAAGAGACAACCTACAATGTGGGAAAAAAATTTTAGCAGCTGTACCTCAGATAAAGGACTACTATCTAGAATATATAAAGAACTGAAAAATATCACCCCCCCAAATTTAAAGACCCAATTCAAAAATGGGCATCTGAAATGAACAGACATTTCTCAGGCAAAGAAGTAAAAGCAGCAAATAAATATATGAAGAAATGTTCAACATCACTGGTCATTAGAGAGACGCAGATGAAAACAACACTGAGATTCCACCTCACCCCAGAAAGAATGGCTGCTATCAAGAAATCAACCAATAACAAATGCTGGTGGGGGTGTGGGGAAAAAGGAACCCTTCTCCATTGTTGGTGGGAGTGCAGACTGGTGCAACCACTGTGGAAATCCATATGGAGATACCTCAAAGAACTAGGGCTAGAGGTCCCATTTGACCCAGCTATTCCCCTCCTGGGTATCTTCCCCCAAAGAATCATACCACAGAGATATTTGTGTACCCATGTTTATAGTGGCACAGTTCATAATAGCTAAAGCTTGGAAACAACCCAAGTGCCCATCAACTGGAAACTGGATAAAGAAGATGTGGGTTTTTTTTATAAAATGGAGTACTACTCAGCCATAAAGAATGAGAAACTAGAGACATTTATAGCTAAATGGATGCATATTGAGGCCATACTCTTAATTGAAATAAATAGGACACACATGTATAAATACCAAATAGTTTCTCTAGTGTGAGAAACTGAAAGTGTAAATAAGGTTTAAAATAATTAAAATGAATAACTGATAATTTGAAATAGGAAGAAAAGGTCTAAAGGGGTAGGGGTGATGGGAGAGGAAGGGGAAAGGAAAGAAGGGAAAGGAAAAACTATGAGAAAAGAAAAAAATGGAAATGAAATCTATGTAAATAGGGAAGGGCACACAGGTAATGGGTAAAAAATAAGAACTAAGATACATCATGTACAGGTAAAAGGACCCAATGATAAATGTAAGCATATTGTATACCTAATATGTACCAATAAAAGAATTTAAGCAAAAAAAACTTTAAAAATGAAAATATTACCAAATTAAACAGTAGTAGGTGGTAGGTGGAATCCTTGCAGTTAAAAGCTTGAGCTTGGAAGTTTTGGCTTGCTTGGGCTAAAATCCTAGGGTTGCTGTTTATTCGCTATGCGACTACATATATTCCTGAGTGTTTAGTATTGTAGATAACAAATATTGTTATCTGTCTTATCCACTAATGAGTCTTCATTTCCCAGAATATAGGTAATAGATAATAAATATTGTTGAATGAATGCAAAAGTTGTATCTGGAACCTATTTCAACTGAGAAAGCAGGTTTTGGATAGTAAAATTATAACCTGTATCTTACTTTGTTATGTTATCAACTATTGGAAAGGAGTAACCTTACTTTTTACACTCTTCTGTACATAACCTTGTAGATGTTAAATAAATGTAAATTGGCCAATTACTGGAGACTATATATAATGAAGAAGCTCATTTTCAACATTTGCGTCTGCCTAAGTGACAGAACCTTCCATGAATATTTAATGGGCTTTACTTATTTCAGAGTTAGAGTGCCCTTATCTACTGCTCCCTGCCACAGGAGAAGCGACTCCATTTGGTTTAATTTGGTTCTTCCTCTATAGGTCTGGAACCCATAGAACCCATTTATTGGAGAGAGGTGTGAAGGATAGCATGGAGGCCACAGTCATGCCTTCTGCGTATCTGTGCATCAGATCTGCCCTGAGATCCCTTTTAACAAAGATACAGAGATGAATGGAAAAGTCTGGTCTGCTCTAGAGTACCCTGTTGATGTAATGATCAAAAACAAACAAACAAACAGAGAAAGAGAGAGAGGAAGAAGCTTCTGAAAGAATTAGCTGCGGCCCCAACTCTCCTTTCCCCTAATTTCACATCTCTCTCTAAAATATATGTGATAGTGGATGGATGGACTGCACTTTGGCTCAGGCAGTTGGGAGACTTTGCCATTTGCAGATATTTTTATCTTAATTCACACAGTCTGGAGTGGATTGACATTATTCAATCAGAAGAAAGTATTAATCTTCAGTTTATGGCCTATCCTCAGAAGTGTCTTGTTAATACATTTCACCAGGGAATCGATCTAGAATAAGAACTGGGGCAAAAAGCAATTTTTATGAGGACATTTAAACAAGATCCATTTTCTCTCCCTAATATTTACATGCTTTCCATGGGGAGTGAGCAGGCACTTGACTCTTAGCTATTGAGAATCTCTGTGGTACCCATGAAGATTAAAGAGCATTATTTCTTATAAAGACAGCAGCCTAATACACAGCTTATCTTTATTAAATTTGAAAAAAAACTTTGCAGCTATTTGATCTCCCAAACCTGTCTTTTACTATGTTAAAGCATATGTTGTGTACTCATGATTTGAGTGTATTCTCCTGTGCAGCAGTAGTTGCCCTCCAGTGCAATAGAAAAGCATCCATAACCTAGAAACAGGTCTCAGCACCACTTAGACATTCAGGTCAATCAATTAGCCAGATTTGGCAAGAATGTCAAAGTGATTGTCTAAACACTGTATTGATATTTTAAAAATTAAGGAAGCTATTTAAGAAATGTCAAAATATAAAGTTGTTGTTCCCCACCCCTGCATTACCCAGTTGCACAAGATACACAGTTTTTATGAGAATGTCATAAAGAATATGTAATGAGCCCTTGATTGAATCAAAATCATTTTAAACAGAAACATGTTTTTCAAAGGATGAGTTTGAGGTTCAATTGTAATTCTATTTGAGCCTGGAGACTTGGTATTAAAAAATAGGTTATGACCTGGTTTTGTTTTTCCCTTCCCCAAAACATGCTCCCAGCTCATCTTGGTAGAAGCAGAATATGTTTAAAAATCCATTATATTTTTTATTGGCTGGGACACTAATGGAAGGCTCCATGACAGCTCTATTTTACAGGCTGAATACTTTAATTAGGCTGTTTACTGATCAGTAGTTGGGATATCGATTGTGTCATTTGTCAAAGAGCTGGGAAAGCAGAAAAAATTTTGTTCTTGTTGTTGTTGTTAAATGAAAACACAAGGCTATGCGAAGCAATTCCTACCTCTCTTGCTTGCTAACTGAGGAGTCGCTAGCTGCTCCTGGCTTTGTTTGACTAGCAGTATAGAGGCAAAGAGCAGCACATTGGTTGTGGGAGAAGTGTGCAAAGCTTTGATCTTCAACAGCTGAAAGCATTTTAATTATTAAGAATGCATAAATAGAATGTTTTAAATATTTTGTTTCACTGAACACTGAATTTTTATAACTAAAAATAAAATATAAGCTGGGCATGGTCCGTACATGTTTATAATCCCAAGCATTCCAAGAGGTTGAGGTAGGAGGATGGCAAGTTCAAGCCCAGCCTGGGCCACTTAGTAACTTAGGGACACCTTGTGTCAAAAATTATAAACACTTAAAATTATTTTTATAAAGAGCTGTCAATGTAGCTCAGTTTGAAGGCCCTAGGTTCAATCTCCACTACTGCCAAAAATGAAAAGAAAAGAAAAATGTATAAATGAAATGAATTTTTCAAGCCAAATTCTTTTCCAGAAGGGAAGAGCATTAAGGGTGAGATCTGTATTCTCATTTGTGGCATGTTTCTCTCACAAATGGTCAAGGGAACATTTGAAATAACTTCCAAATTATTTACTTTATAGAAATCTGTTAGGGAGACAAATACTATGAACCAGAGCTAAACCCAGTTCTCTGTACCACCGTCCTCTTGCAAAAGCAGCTCGAGTTCTTGGAGGCTGGCTGCCTTCTGGTACTGCATAGCACCTGTGGAAAGAAGGATTGCAGGGTGTTATTCTGGATATAGCAGTTTGAAGAAAACTGTGAATTTGCTTATAGACTGTCAGAATCCAAATAGGATGGAGAAATATGGGGGGGAAATAAATCTCAGAAGAACCACTGTCTGGCTTTGTCACTGTAGCTCTCTGTGGATCCTGGCCAAAGACCTGGCAGTGTCCACAGTGGGACACATTCGTGGCATTTCATCAGCAAAGCCTGCTTGGGTTCAGACTTGTCCTAGAGCATATGTGTGTATCTGAGGACAGCAAGAGGGAGAGGGAGCGAGGGACCAGCTGGTTGGCAGAGAAACACCATTGGCATGAACTGTATTCTTGTATTGATACTGCCACAAGCTGTACTCCCAGATGGAAAAAAATTTGAAAGAAGTCAGTTGTAAGTGCAGGGAAAGAATAATAAAGTTAATCCTCTTGTGTGTTGGCTATCAGCACTCCTAATCCTTAACACACATTGTCATAGATATTTTAACTATATTCCATATTTGTAGATGTTGTAACTGATAGGGCCATTTTGATTTTCCACCTTTGAAGACTTATGTACTAGAGATTCCTGAAAGACTATTCATAAATTGATCATTCTTTTCTTTTGCTCCAGCTGACCAAGTTGGAACGTATTTAAAAAGCAAATGTGCTTTTTATTTTTATCCCTTAGGAGACTGCTGAGTGTGGGGCATTTTCCAAGCCATGCTTTGAGAACTGTCAAAATGCTCTAACTACCTCCAGCCGAAATGAGAGTGGTATATTGCAGTCCTTTGACAATTACAGTCCACAAGATAAACAGAAAGGTAAGAGACTATCCATTTTCATCCACTCCAAATGCAGTGAGAAAACACAGAAGTGCCTTTTTATTTTAAAAAAGAAGAAAGAGGAGTTAATTAGACAAAGTGCAGACTTTGTTACTCAGAGTCATGAACGCTGACAGGTGGGTGGGAGAGCTGACTCAGAACTTGTGAATCAGATTCCTGGCAAGGCCTCCAGTTTAAGTGACAGCTTCTATGCTTGGTGCCCCAAACATGGAGGGTTATGTATAAAACAAGCCATGTCTGGAGGATCAAAGATAGCAAACTGTTAATTTCTGAAACATTCCCTCAACATTAAAATTATCAAGTACCTCTAAAAAATTTTGTGGATTTCTGTTAAATCATAAAATGGTCATAACATGGCTCGCAGATTTGTGCTTGGTTCCAAGACAAGTGGTAAATAGTTAAATACCATATCCTGTAATCATACTGTGGCAGTTGGAATGTTCTTGTTATTGTCTTACTACAGTTTCTCTTACGTGGTATAGATCACATTTCTAATGGAGCTCCATATATAAAAAACCCTAGATTTTTTTCTTTGTTTTTCAAAAATTATACTTCAGGTCACCAAGAAAATCATTTTATCTCCCTGTATATCTCTTCTTTAATAACTTTCATTTTTTTATATTGCCAAAGCAATACATATTCGTGATAGAAAATTTAGAGAAAAGCAATAAAAAGAAAATTTAATATTACTCATACTTCTATATAAAAAGATTCTAATCAATAATATTTATGTGCATCTTTCAAGTCTCTTCTTCATGCAAATATGTGTACATAAAATGAAAGTAAAAGAAATTACTATATGTAATGTTTGAAGAATGAGTTTTTTAATTAATAGCACATTACAAGCGTCTTACTGTGTGTGTCCTCACATATTTTATAGCATCACATTCACTAGCACTCTACTGTATGATGGTACTGTGTACTAGATAAACAAAGGATATATTTTAGACACTTAAAATGTTGCCAAAATGTAACTACATGGGAACAAGGTCTGAACTCTGAGATTGCTCTGACAGAATGGACTTGTAAACTCTGACTGAAGTTGCTCTAGAATTGGATTGTTTCATCCTAATTGGATGTTGGTTTTTTCCTTCTGAATTTCTCCATTTTGGTAAAAAGTAGTTGTAACACCTGTTACTATTTATTAAGTGTTTACTGTTAGATACTATGTTGAGTGATCAATTGACATATTCATTCAAAATGACTGATATTATGATCCTCATTTTTATAGATGAAGACATAGTCAGAAAGGGTAAATAATTGACCCAAGACTGTACACACAGACCCTGGATTCAGTTCCTGTCTCTCTGGCTTAGGATTATCTCCTAAACCACAGCATGGCCCTAAGTCACACTGATCCCTTGAAACTATTAAAGTTCTTCCACCTGATGCTAAGAATGACCATGCAGAGATGATTTTACTTTGTATTCACATAAAGAAATATGTGTCATTGTCCCCTTAAAGAAATTAAACATCTTCTTGACCAAGCAATATTTTCTTCTAAGACCTTAAAACTCAATAGCAACAGAGTCAGGATGGAACAGCAGGTTTTCCACGGAATGGGACAGTCTTCTTAATACGACACCCATGTTGGCATCATGGGCACTGATATGTGTATTAAAATGCCTCATCTTTACATATGACATACATATGTATTAAAATGCCTCATAATTTGATTAACACTTGACTCTCAAGCAATATGTGGCCCAGTGACTAAAGTTTTGGTTTTATTCCTAATTTCACCAGTGACATCCAAAGAAACATTAGACATGTTACATCCATCTTGGTTTATTTTCAATAACTATAAAATATAGTTGCTGAAGTGATATTCACTAAACATATTTTAGAGGACATAGATATACTCAAAAATGGGGTACCTCTAGAAACAATAGCAATGGCTAAAATCATGAAAATATGGAGTCAATTAAAGTGTAAAGATACACCCAGAATTGGGCATAAATGGCTTTTGACAACCACAGGGAAGTATGTCTGTTTTCTTCCTCCTGAGACCTAGATCCAGATTGAACAACATTTTTACCACTGAAAAAAACCATCAGCTCCCCAAAATGTTTCTGCTTCATTTCCTCCCCACTTTTATTTTCCAAGTTAACATAAAAAATTCTAGAATAGTTTTTGAAAAGTAGGAAAAAATCTATGATTATTTCCTTATGGATCTGTGATACAATACTAGTATCAAGAATTAGGTGTATCAAAGCATAGATTCACTAAATTTCATGTTAGAGGCCAGATGAAAATCTCTTACTTTTCATGTGAACCTATTGACTTAGAGGCAAAAAAAATATTATAACAGAATTAATAAACATAATTCTATGAAAGAATATCATTATCATCTCCTCTTTGTACTACTGATTTTGCGTTTGAGAATTACTGAGAGATCCTGAGTTTTACAGCCAGGTAAGTTGGTAACAGGTCACAGAAACTCATAAATCCTAAATATTCATTCACCACTACCAAGTTTTTAAGCATCTCCTCTAGAAAGACAAGATTAAGTCGACAAAATGCAGTGTCTGGTGAGGACAGGAACTAGTAGAGACAAAACATCAACATTTTTCCTTCTCTTTTTCCTTTCCTTTGTATATTTAAAAATTCGATGTTGATATTCTGTGTTCCATCTATTTTTTTAATAATAGTATATACCACCCACAGTTCACTGGGTATTTTGTTTTTTATTCCTGTCACACTGTTACACAGAAAAGGCATTTTTAGAACTGACATATGTAGAAATCCTAACTCTAGAAAATTCATATTTGTCTTGGAGAATTGCTAGCAGTGCTTGTAGTGGAATAAGTGTGGTGCTCCAAGTTAGTAATAAGGATGGAGGTTGTGCCCCAGTGTTTACTATAAAATCCCATTACATATTTGAATGGTAATGAGGTGCACCAACATTGTATTTCCCAAGGACTCTTGCTGGTGGATCTCACTCTAAGAACAGATTGCCTCTGGTTTGTTACCTCTCCTTCCATTGCTCTTGTCTCTCCTTTTATGCTCTTCTACTGCTTCAGCTCAAGTGCACCCCAGTCACCCACTGGCCCAGGTCTGCCCAGTATCACCCACTGAGTTAGGCCTTTTCTGCCTACCTCAATTAAGTGTATTGATTCTGTGCCATGTCCCACTAAATACATATTCCCTGAAGGAGACACATAATAGTGTAATTCTTTCTAATGTGTATCTTCCTGGAAACCAGTATGTATCCACCCATCCATAGCTTGGATGGCACTATCTCTGCAATGGTGATGAGAAATTGAATTACACTTCTCAATTTGACTGATGTTTATTGGATACCTCCTTTGTGCAGAACATACTATTAGGAATGCAAAAATGAATGTAATGCTGTTACTGCCCTCAAGAAGAGTCTAAAGTAAGGGTCAGCAAACTGTCCTTAAAGAGCTGAATGGTAAATTTTTGAAGTTTTGTTGGCCTACGGATCTCTGTTACTACTCAGCTATGTCATTGTATGTATATATCCATAGATACATAATACCCATTTATGAACAAATGGGCATGACTGAGTTCAGTAAAACCTTATTTACAAAGTGCAATGGTCGACTGGTTTTCGAGCAGGACCATAATTTGCTGACCCCTTGTCTAAAGTCAAATCTCTTTTACCCACCTTGGCCTTGGTAGGATGGATCCCACAAGACAAATAACAAAAGATGGTAATTAAAAGAAAAGCCAGTTAGCCATCATTGAAGTAACTAGAAGGCACACTGTCAACATCTATGTATATATCATTAAAAAGATACCTGTATACTCAGTGAAATCCAGAAATATTATTTCTAGGAGACAAGAATTCTAGACTCTTACACTGATCATAATCCTGAATGAAGATATTGAATCAAGAGGAAAAAAGTTACATCTGAATATGTTGTTTAATACTGTACCAAAATATAGAGTCATCAAATAAAATTCTTACCTCTACACCTATTATTACTGAAAAAAACAGGGCCATATGGATGCAGTAAAAATCAAAGTTAATAATTGTAAAAAAAACTCAAAATAATCAAAGAAGAGGCTACATACAGGAAGGAGAACAGAATGAGGAGGACAAGGAGGAAGTTATGTATAGTCTAGAAGGAGAGGTACAGATGAATAGATGTTAGCTTGTTAGATCAATAAATGCATAGCTAATTACAAAGGAAGCATGCTATGAATGTTATACAGAAAGTACTTTACATAATATTAAGTAGTCCATAAACCTAAAAATGTCAGTGGATAAATAAAAAACATGAAAGTGTATTTCTTAGTCACATCACAGCCCAGTAAGGCTTTGCAGAAGGATAATGAATGTTCCATGCAGTGATCAAGGGACCTTCCATTTGTGGCTGACAATCTTCTAGCATCTTATCATTTGGCTTTTGGATGGTAGTTAGGAGAAGAAAAGAGAGGTTGAAAATGAAATTCACCATAGCAACTCATACTCCATTGGCAAGACTGGCCTAGGAGCACAGAGGCCAGAGAAATTTTATCCAGCTGTATACCCAGGAAAAGAGCATTCTCTGTCATTGTAACAGAATCACTGACAGATCCTAGGAATGTTGAAAATTTCATAGAGAAGATGTCATTTGAGGTGGACCATGGGAGAAGGGTAAGATATTGGAAGCTAGGGTGGATTTTGCAATTAGATGAGCAAAGACACTGAGACAAGTAAGCCCAAGGGAACAGTCTATAGTCTTGTTCAGCTAATGTATAAGAAGGGAAATAGTTTGCTGCCAGAAATACAGACCTGTATTCTGAAGGCAAGTATATACAGCAACTCACCTGTTCATGTCTGTGTTAACCACCAGCGTGGAAGACGGACTGAGAGATTGAGGATAGAAAGATTCAAGCTAGAAGAAAGGATGGTGTCCCAATGTGTCCTATTTGCAATACAGTCCTTCTGCTCTGTTTCCCCTTAGCAAATCTCTGCCTGCCTGACTGCATCCACACCACCAAATCACTGGATCATGGAGGTGGAAATGAAAGGGGCAGTGCTGGCCACCTTTGTTCATGATGCTGCCTCTTCCATGACACCTACTCATCAGATCTCCTGCTTCAGAGCCTCTTTCCCAGGGATATATCAGCACAGTTGCCACCACCTCCATTGCAGACTAGTGCCTGGGGCAGAGCTTAGAGCAAGTCCTAGCTAGGTGTATTCATCAGGGTTCTGCAGAGAAACAGAACCAGCTGTATATGTGTACATGTTTATAAATAAATAAGATATTGATTATAAGGAATTAGCTCACAGGATTATGGAAGCTGAAAAGTCCTTAGATCTACTTGTTGAGACAAGCTGGAGATCCAGAAGAGCTGATCATGGAGTTCTAATCTGAATCAAAGGCCTAGGAACCAGGGAAGTTGGCAGTGTGGCTCCAGTCAAAGGCCAGCAAGCCGGAGAACCAAAAAGAGCAATGTTCAGCTCAAGTGCAGATGCAAGAGAAAGGTGACATCCTGGTTCAAAGGCAGGCAGGCAGGAGTTCTCTCTTGCCCAGGGAAAAGCCACCCTTTTGTCCTGCTCAGGCCTCAGCCCACCCAGATTAGAGAGCGCAGTCTGCTTTATTTATTTAAATGTTAATTTTGTCCGAAAACTCCCAGCATTATATAAAAACCATAACTACTGCCATATTGTTTCAAGTAGCAGTTCTCAGTCATAGAGAGATTTCTGTCTTATTCCATGAATCAAGACAATCAGGCTCCACCTTTTATCAAGTATTTCACTTTAATAGACACAGAATAGAATTTATTGTTTATGGAATAAAGTTCAGCATTGACTTAGCAGTCAATGTCCAATGAAGGTATTCTTATTGTTCCTTTAAAGATTAAAATACTGAGGCTCAAAAGAAGTTGAATGAGCCAAGGATTTAGCTCAGTGGTGCCTCTGCCTGCCTCGCAACTGCAAGGTCCCAAATTTGATCTCCGGTACCAAAAAAAAAAAGAAGTTGAGTGATTTATCCAAATTCACATAGCAGTAGGAGCCAGGAGGGGAAACTTGGCAGACTTGCTCCAAATAATCATCCTCTTAAGCAGAATATTCTGTAATGCTATTCATATATTAGTTAGTATTAGTATTAATAATATTAAATGAAATAATATAATGCCTACCACAATGTTTGATACACAAGATCTCATCAAATCTTACTTATTCTTGGCCATAGTGATATTCAGGATACACATTATCTTTCTAGTAAAGAAAGCAACATGAAAAACTATGTATTTTTATTAAGTGGGAAAACAAGATTCCTAGTTTTCTGCTTGCTTATAAGGCCTTAAACCTATGTGCTTCCATAATGGCAAGGTGAAAAAAGGGTGGGGTTTTTTCCGTCAAGTGCATCTAAATAATGAGGAAAGTCTTGTAAATAAAAATGTCAAGACACAGAAGATATGACTTTGCTAATCTTGCACAAATTACAAGTCAAGAGTATGTGTTACCTTCCTAGGGGGAAAAGGTATAGAAGTCATGATGCAGGGACCTGATTGGCCAAGAGTTGCTAGTATAGACACACCTATTAGCAATTGCACATTTTCTCATGCAGAGAATATTCCTATAATACTCACTCTTCCTTCAGTTCAGGGTGAAGCATTATTTATTGCAAGAATGGTTTATGTGTTGGTTAAAATTGGGTCTGAGAGGGCCTGGGATTTAGCTCAGTGGTTCGGCCGCCTGCCTCGAAAGCGCAAGATCCTGACTTTGATCCCCAGTACCAAAAAAAAAAAAAATTGGGTCTGAGAGATGGACTGAAACAAAACCAAGGTCAGAATGGCTCCTCCCTCAGTTTACTACAGCTTCGTTTGTTCTTGTAGACCTGATGCTGCCCCATGACGAGTGGGCCGAGTGTGAACTCCTACCGTCACTCCCACCACATCCCAGTCTGGAATTGGGCCTTGAAGATTACAGCCACAGGTATTGATAAAATGATGTATTGTAAATGTTTCCCATTAGGATTTTTTGGGGAAAACTCAGCAACCTGATTTCAACTATTTCCAGAATGGGAATCTCATAGTATCTAGAATTCTTTTCCAGTGAGAGCTTCTCAGAGCTAATAGCTTAGATCGCTCATATTTTACTTCCTGAAATTTAGATTCATCTTTATATTCCTAAAATAGTCAAGAAAATGGTTGAATTTTCTTTTACAAGTTTGAAAAACTTGTAATTTGAAAACTTTGAGCAGTGGAACTCAAAGTTATATAGGAAGGCATGAAACAAAACTGCGAAAGCATAAACCTAGGGTTAGGTTTTTCTCTTTTTCTTCATTATTGGCCAACCCTAAGGGGATTTTAAAAATAGATGTTTCAAGAAAGTTAATGAAATCTAAAAATTAAAGCAACACCACATAAAATCTAAAATATTGAGAAGGGTACCCAATATTATATCCATTCTGTAATAGAAACTAAAAAAACAATAATTTTTAGGATCACATGACCATGAGGGAGGGAGATTTACTAAGCATACATACTGTTTGAATAGTGGATTTCATAGATTTTGTTCTTCTGATGAGTTTTAAAAATCATTAAATTGTCTCTTTGCTATTTTCTGTATTTATGATGGCTGTTAAAAGCAGTGTATTTTATTCCATTGTATGTCCCATGATAATCCTGTGAAATTTCTTCATTTTTCTTGCTGCAATGCTAGTGTCATTTCCATTATGCTTTTAAATACAATCTGCTAAAAATAAAGCAACACAGCAAGAGTGTAGCTAACTTTATTAGACAGAAAACTATATGTGTGTGTAGCTATCATTGATTCTTATGTTTTTGAAATCAGTTATCTTCTTAAATACAATTTCATGAACTTAATATAATTTCATAATCAAAATAATGTTCTAGATCGATATTTCTATTGCTTTCTTAAAAGAAAATGAGGACATATTTAATTTTTTTTAAATTTATTTCCATTGTTTGCTTCAGCCCTGAATCCAAAAGGACAGTTTGATGGTATCAAAAAAAACCCCATGTTTTTAATAAGTTCATACATTCTCCTTGACCATTTATTCTGTGTTTATAGTATGTGCAAAACTATCGGGATGACACAAAGCGGAATCAGAGATAAACCCTGCTCTCAACAGGCCAGTAGACCAGTGGGCAAAAGTGATTCTAGATGAGGACATCTGAAATGATACTTAAAAGAAGGTGTAATAGTTGAAAGAATCTGGGCATTTGAGGCAGAGGAGAGTGCTTCCAGGTACAGAAAACAAGGAAAATGGTAAAAATTGCCTTGACCTGAAGCATAAATCATACCTGGAGGTGAACATGAGATGACCCCAGGCAGAAAGTGAATTTCAGAGAGGGAAGGGCATGTAGAAGGAACAGTAAGGAGATGGAAGAGTAAACTGATTTGTGCAACTTACATCTTGGCTGCTTGGCTGGATGATAATGCAAAAATGACTTCTAAAGACCTCATCGGTAGATACTAAAATCTTATTGTAGGATATAAACAGACAACAGGTCTGGTGACACCTAGGCTTTCTTTGTGTATAATATGGACTGGATAAATGGAAGAGGATTTGCGGATCCTTGCTGGGGCAGTGCTGCCAAGGACTGAGGAATTGTGTGGGAGGACAGGGAGAGGCTCTCAGGTGAGAAACTTTCAGGGAGCAGGTTAGTTCAGAGACAAGGCAGAAGAAATCATCGGGATTTAGCAAGTACCTGCCTTCTTGGCTTCTTCGCTGTCTCCACAGGTTTCTTCCCTTCCCTTTTCTGTAGAGTATGTTTTTTGTGATCTTGGGAGTAAAAAGAAAAACTTACATTGTCGCTGACTAACAAAGCTTTATTACATGGTACCAACTAATAACTTCCTTTTCACCTTTTCCTCCTAATTTTCTATGTTTAAGCTTCTGTTCTCACCACTTGACTATAACTGCTCTCTTAAACATCCATAGTACTCTCCCTTTAGTGAAAGGTATGACATTTAATCAGACTTTATTCTTCTTTTCTGCTCTACTGTATTTGGTCATTATACCATTCACTCCCTCATTCATTCATTCAGAGTATATCTGGAGCTTTCAGCCAGACCCCGTGTAAGGTACTAAAATGGATTAAAAGCATCCCTGCAATCAAGCAACACAGTGTTCTTTTAAGGAGACAGAAACACAGGTAACTAGCATGCACCCTGCTAAGCATTGGATACAGAATTCCATGGAAGCCCAGCAGAATGAGCCCCTGACTCTGCCTACAGGATGGAGGAGGGTTGCACAGGAGATGAAGTGTTTGAGTGATTTCTTGGAGGATGGGAGAAGTAGAAGGAATTTCAACTTGGGTTTGAAAAAACAAGAGATGAGAGAAAAGAATAAATCCTATGTTCAGTGTGGCTGAAGCATATGGTGTCTTGAGAGAGAACTGGTGTTTGAGACATTGTCTACCATGCTCCACAAGCTCATTGATTCTTTGAAGAGCAGTAGAGAAGCACTAAAGGGTTTAAGGATGACAATGTCAGCCCTTGAGGCAATTTCCATTTTGGAGGATGGAGTGGATGGGGGAAGCCATAGACAGAGATCCATTAGACTTGGGACTATCAAGAGAAGAACAGGGCCTGAACCAACAGAGAAGAAGCATGCATGAAGAGGAAAGGACTGTGATATTTTTGAAGTGAAAGGAATAAATCTTAAGCCTTGCAGCACACCCCTTCCTGGGAACCAATAACCTACACCATCCTACAAGCTTCAGTGTTGCCTAGGTAACCAATAGCAACAAGCTTTGGATGTATGAAACTTGGGATGGAGGATGGACTGGAGGAGAGCCAGGAGGGTTGAGCAAGGGATGCTGAACTCTCTTCAAAAACATTTATGATACTGGGGCCAGGGATTTAGCTCAGTGGTTTTGCTGCCTGCTGCGCAAGGACCTGAGTTCTATCCCTGGTACCAAAAAAAAAAAAAATGTGCGATCCTCTAAAAGGAAAAGCAGTGCTTTAGAGGTGGCGCCAGTCTTACAAAGCAGAAAACTGCTGTTGCATGAAGAGGGGGAAGAGACTTGATCAAATTTAATGTTTATACTTTGAACCAGAATAAAATCAAGAAATTATTTCTACTGTGTCATCAATGATTATGAGAGAAAGGTTTAGAATATGTATGTTGAAATAAATAAATGTAAGATAAATGTATTTTTACTGTGGATCCTGAGAGGTTAAAGCAAACTGGCAGCAGACAGAATTTATTGATTATTATTAACAGTTCAGACAACTTTTGAATGTTCCTTGTGTGTGCATATTTTTCCTCTCTCTCTCTCTCTCTCTCTCTGTCTGTCTCTCTCTTCCTCCTCCTCCTCCTCCCTCTCCTCCCTCTCCTCCCTCTCCTCCCTCTCCTCTCGCTCCTCTCTCTCCTCTCTTCCCTCCCCACTTCTTCACACTCGAGATGGGCATTCCTTCTCACTCATACTAGCCAGTTGCCGGAGCCTAGTCACAGACACCTGAGGCTTCAGATATAATGCTTTTGTTGTTGTGTGTTGAGTTTTTTGTTTTTTGGTTTTTGTTTTTTTGCATGCCTCTCAAAATCTTCCATTTTCATTTTAGACAGTTTTCCTTGAACATTCATTGCTGACTCTTCTGTGTCTTTCACATTCCTGGTTTGTCACCGTCTTCAAGACATTGGCATATGTTCCATGCTACACTTATGTATTCATTATGCAGCATAATTTGACATCGAGTATCATTTCTATTTGATAGATTCCCTGCTTGTTCATGCTGAAAACATGGTCTTTATCTTGGACATGTCTTTGGCCTGCTGTCAACTTTCAGCTTCCTGAAGCCTCCAATGCAGCCCACTCAGCCATGAGCACACACTAACTCCCTTCAAAATTAAAATATGTCCCATTTTATAGTTAATCATGGTGTCATCTTCTCACTCCAAACACTTTTGATGCATAGCATAAAATTACAGACCATTTTACTAGTCTAAGTTACATGTGTAAACTATTTTCACATTAACTAATTCAATACTGTACTCATTATTTCAGTACACTATATGCTCACATTGACTCTAATCCCTTAGTATCTTATATTGCATTCATTTCCTTCCTTAAATATCAGTCAGTCTCACATCTGACTTATTTCACATTTCTATTTTTTCCATGGCAATATAAATCCTTCTATTTAAGGTTTTTATAATATATGCTTTGTCACAATCAAAATAATAGTAACAGAAATATATATCATGATCAAATTAATAGACATAAATCAGGCATATATAATATGAATAATGTATTTCTTACATTCATATGTATGAAGCAGCTTTGATTTCTTTGATTATCCTTAATTATATTCTAATATTTGTATAAAAATAAATTAACTTTTTTGGACTAACCCTAACTTAGTGTTACTCTATCAAGTGATGTTGTCATTTTATTTTTAAGATGGGGATAAGGGTCATTATTTCCCAAAGTCAGGAAAATTTTAAATTCTTATTCTTATTGTGTCAATTATTGCATAGTTTGGTAAAATAATCGAAGGATCTACTGAGAAAACCATATATTTCTCAATTGGGTAGATTCCCATTGTCTGCCTTGAGCAGATGACTTTAAATGTGCTGTGATCTTTGTTTTATAGTGAAATATTTATATTGACTGTAAACTTTCTCCTGAAAGTTTTCCTTATAATGTATAGCATATGCTTCAATCATATATTCAGCTTTTTTTATTTCATGATATGCACCACTCTATTGGAACAAAAAACCTAAAATGCAACTTGCACAAGAAATTGTGAGCAAGCCTGCACTCATAGAAAAAGGATTGATGTTGGTGAATTTAGGATTGTAACAACTTGCATCCCAGAGAGGCCACTATTTTACCAGAAGCTCATGGCTCTGGTCCTGGCTTTGCCCTTGGCCACCTGTGCAACCTTGGGACATTAGTCCTCCCCTTTGAGCCTCAGAGTCTTATCTAAAAGATGAGATGACCTTTAATCCCTTCTAGCTCTTAAATTCTTTGATTCTGTGAAGGCCATGAGTCTTTCTGACACTAAACTCACATCATTACAAGAGATCAAAGGATGAAAAACTAAGTGCAAATAAAGGTTGAATAACACATTTAAAGGCAAGTTCTCCCAAAACACCAACATTTAGGAGGAAGCTTGTGTTCACAGTGGCATCTTAATATTCTTTAAAATGGGCTGAAAAAAATGAAAGTATTGCTATTGGAACATGCCAGCAGTTTTTCTCACAATTGTCATATTTTGCCATTTCTAGATACCACATCTAATATACTTCATACATCAGTGACTTCATCTATTAAAAATGTACCTGGACATCAAAAAATCTTCATAATTCCAAAGAGTAGATTTAAACACTTGAGAAATTCTCATGAAAATATGTACAATCTTTTCATTGGAGAGTGCCCCAGGCCCTCATTCAAAGACAACTCTAGTCCACCAGAATAAAGAAAAAGATTATTAATAGCTCCTATCGATGGAGCTTTTACCATATGCTAGACACTACTACTCTTAGTCTGTAGAATATCTTAATTTATTTCATTCTTACAGCAATCTTATAGAGTAGATTCTATTACTATTCATGCTATGGCTATGGAAACTGAGACCATGTACCCTGACATCTCCTCAGTCCCCAAGCCTATCTTAGTCATAGCTCTATTGAGTGTCTGACAAAAACAGGAATGATAAGGAAACTGTGAAAAACATAGATCAGTGAAAAAGCTGAGACATTCATAGTTATTTGGGAGGCAAAAGCAGGTCTATTTATTTGCTTACTTGTGAACTATTTCTACAGCACTAACTCTGTACAAACACAAATCTCTACTTTCGAAATCTTAGCTTATTCTATCCTCTTAGCCACCCTTTAAGGTATAAATATGTAATTATAATTATTTTAGATGTAAGGACATTGAAGAACAGAGAAGACCAATAACTTGCCCAATCACGTAGCTAATAAGTACCAGAGGCAGGATTTAAACTGGTCAGACCTGAGAAAAGGGAAAAAAATGGAAACAGTCTTTGTAAATAGGGAGGGGTGGAAGGGTTGAAGGGAGAGCAGGAGAATGGGGAAAAAATAAGAACCAAGATATATCATGTAAAGGTACAGATTCCCAATGATGAATGTCATAATATTGTATATCTAAAACATACCAATAAACTTTTAAAAAATAAAAAAATAAATTAACTGGGCAGACCTCCTCTGGCCTCCTGGCTTTCAAATACTGTACCGAGCTGCCTAACCCAGGTACTTTCCTAGTCTACCCATTATATTGTAATAATTGAGGCCATTTGATCATTCAGGAATTTTATTATTGCTATATATTAATTTTAGCAGTGCAGTGCTGTCAAGAAATATTAAATATCCATGACAGATAAGTTTTAAAAATAAACTTATTTTGATATACTTAATTTAAAAGTAAATATTACTTTATATACTTTAGGATTCTCATCCAAAAAGATAATCTTTGTTGTTTTGTTTTTTAAAATATCAAACCTCAACTGTTTGAAAAACTCGTCAGTCCTTTAGATTTCCTAAGGATACTGGATTTAAGTTTTCTCTGTACAAGAGATGATGATCGAAGTCACCTTGAGATAAGACACCTGTGTACTCTTACACAGAGAAGCTACCAAGGGAAAACATGGCTGTAATTTAATCTATGAAAATATGTAATTTATTTCTATATCAAGATATGAGCAATTGTCTGTTGATTTCTTCATATAATCCCTTCCATCCTCAAGAGAAGTAAATCAAATATGCAGCAGAAAGAAAATTCTTTGAGAATTACCGCAAGTGCTAGGAAGCCTGTAAGTGGTATTTGATGTATCTTGTGTCTAAATTGTCAACTGTGCTCTTCCTGTAATTTCCTGCTGATATTAATGATGCGCATACTATCTGTTAAGCATTAACATTAGTTTTAGAAGATAGACCTAAATAAGGTAGGAAACGGAACTCCCTCAACCATGAGCCATTCAAGAAGATGGTTTTCTCTGAGGACATAGCATTTCACTTGTCTCTATAGGAAGCGCATGCTTATCCCACAGACATCTCTCATGCCACTTTCAGGCTCTGCTATCTGGGGCTATGCTTTGAAGTGCTAATGCTTCCCAGCACCCCCCCCCCGCCCACTTAAAGTTATATATGGTGCAGCAGGATCCCAATTAGTAGAAGTCAGTGAAGAGTAAAACATGATATTAGCTAGAGAATATTTTATATAAATTATACTCCATGATGAAATACATAAAAACAGAGTTGCTGCATCTCATAAAAGAAACCTGAGATTTAAGAATTGGTTTTTAAAAAAAAAAGAATTGATTTAAAATACATGGGTATGGGCCTCAGAGACAGTGACGAGTGGCTGTGTTCAAAATAAGAACTAACTCTCCCCCTCCCCCATACAATGTATGGCTTCTTCCCACAGCTCTGGGGTGGATTCAGCAGTATATTTTCCAGATGAGCACATCAACTTCAGATCTGTGACACCGGCCAGGCAGCCTGAATCAATTAACCTGAAAGCCTCAAAGAGCATGGACCTTGGTAAGCAAGAGGGAGGTGACATCCAGGTCACTCTCCAGCCTCGACCCATCTATCTTCCCAAATGTCCAGGTCTTGTTTCTTCAACTCAACCCTCAGAGAGCAAAGTCTGCAGACACCTGGAGGAAGGCATAATGGCAGCCTATTTTCCTATCATTTCTCACACATTTAATTGTAATTATCCTTTTGTCAAAGAGAGAGGTGATTTATTTTTAGAAAGTGGTCCATAAATAGGTCAGAAAAGCATGATTCCCTCTGGAGGCTCTGAATGCCACAAGCATCCTTACCTCAGCTGCCTTCATGTTTGCACTCTGGCTTCTGCCAGTCCATTGCATTCCTAATGGGCATAGCTGTCGCAGGGTCTGGGAAGACAATGTGGTCAAGTGATGTTCCTCATCCTTCACTTCTTCTGTATGAGAGATGGATAGGGAAGGCAGAAAAGGAGAAGATCCATCTCTTGAAATGCCCACCCCAATCCTGTGACACTGGAGGGAGGAAGTGTCCCTTGGATTTGTCAGATTGAAAATATCAAGATACCTATGGTGGTGCCTCAGCAACTCCATTGAGTTCTCAGTACCACAAGGGCTTTTTGAGTGACTTTTGGCTTTCTGGGTAGACTGAGGTCCCCTGTCAACTGTGTTCTCCAGGCCCTGGGATATGGGACCCTAAAAGACATCTCAGATATTCCAGAACATTGCTGCCCTCCCATGGCCTCTTAGAGAGAGTATGCAAAATAAATTCTTAGCAAAATAATCATTACTTCCTGAATGCTCAGAGGCCAACCTATGCAATTGTTTTTCCTTCAGGCATGTTCTATGTTTTATTAACAACAACAAGAAAATAGAATAATCAAAATTGCATGCTGTACCAAACAGTCTGATAAATAGTGCTTATCCACTGCTGCTCATTTACCAGAGTTCGGGAAAATGTTCAGTCTTGATGAAACAAGAGAAATTGATTCTATTTTCTATAAATTAAGTAAATCGCTGGGAAGCACTTGCTCTATCACCTATAGTGAGAGACAGATAGAAAACCTGAACAAGGAAACTGTCTTGAGCACTGGCCATAAGGGTATTTTCTCAAGTGTGAACCTCTGACAAACCAAAGGAATAATGTATGACAGTGACATCGGTTATTACTAATAATTTAGGGAGCAATTTATTTTTATGAAGTACTTGATAAATATTTCCTGTTCTATCTTCCAGTTTCTCTATAAAGAAGATGAATGAATATAAACTGCTCTTAATTTTGGGAGGAAGAAATATGTCACTGAATTCTTCAGTTAATTTTTTAAAAGTTGCCAGTATGATGGCTCTAAAATATTTCTGCAAAACATAAAAATAATATAGCATCCATTTTAATTTAAGAGAGAAAAAGCATTATCAAATCTGTAAAACTGTAAAACCTGAGTCGTGTTCAAGAAGTAGTTCTACTCTTATTTCTTATTACTCAAAAATTGTTTTAAGAAGTTTTCTCTCTTAAATTGAAATCACCATTGCAAAATATCTATAGTTAGGTGTCATCCTTTGCATTTTTCTGTGCATATACCATAAGCAACAAGAATAACAATAATATGGGTCCAGTTTACAAAATTGGGTGGATTAGGAGTTACTTTCTTCAGGGCACAAGTCCTAAACTAAAAGCACTGGCTAAGCCATACCATACAGCAGAAATACTCAACATGTTATAAAAACATTTTTTAGCATAATCATCAAAGTTTAGTCCTGTCCAGGAATACACTTTAAAGCTAACAATCTGGCAGAATGCTCTGGGTGGTGAGCATGTTAGGATCCTTCTACTCCCAGCTCCTCAGAACACACAATGAGGTAAGCTTAATAAATGTGATGGTGTTCCCAATGAGTAAGCTCAGGCGACTCCCCAATAGCAAGCATTAGGAAGTGTCTTTCCTGTTTGATTAAGGGAGTGCATTATGTGTGGTTTAGTTGACCATATATAGCCCTGGGCCAATATAGGAAAAATATATTTGCTGCAGAGTTGGTAATGATAGATATACAAGTAATAGTATCAGTAGGATCAAGATTTATCTTCAAAAGGTTTCTTAAAATCAGAAAGTATTTAGGTTGAATACTAAATTAGTGCCATTTTTGATCTAGAAAAATATGTTTCATAGTTCAAAATAAAAATGATAAATCCTTTTACAGTATTTATTCTGTAATTATAGATTATACTGGCTACTCCTCCTTTATAAAACTTGCAGAAGCCAGGTGTCATGGTGCACAACTGTAATCCCAGGTACTGGAGAGGATGAGGGAGGAGAATCACAAGTTCAAGTCCAGCCTAGGCAATATAATGAGACTCCTATCTCAAAAAAATTAAAATCTATAGGACACTTCAACATCTAGTGGGCCCCATCAGTGCCATCTTTGTTTCTGTTTCATTTTTGCTACTGAGACTGAACTACTATTTTAACCTGCATACTAATAAGTCTTTCATATAGTCAAAGGATTTTGAAGGTATGTGAGTTCTGTGTTCTTATTCTTGCTTTATTCCCAAAGACAGACAATCCTGTTATGAAAAATAAAGCTGCCTCATCTCCATCTCCTTCCCAGACACAAACAAATTCTAACAGTAGATGACTCTATCAGTTTGCTTTTTGTCTTTGTCACATGTTGTGTATTTCTTTGTGTTAGTTGCATAGTGTGACATGAGTGACTCATGATTTACAGTTTGCTTTTCTCTTCACTTTTAGATGGAATTGAGCTTAATTGAAGGTTTGATTTTGTGCTTTTGTCTATTTATATTTCTTAGTTTGTAATTATTTGTGTCCTTTGCCAGTGTTTCCACTTATTAATTCCTCTTTCATTTTTCAGAATATTGTCATGCATACTGCAAATAATTTATTTCTTTTTAAGTTTGATTTTTATATTCTTCACTATAAAAAATTCAGTCCTATAATCAAATAGTTCTAACTTTTCTTTCATATGATTTTTATGATTTATAAATGGGATCATTTGTTTTCTTCTAGAAATGTTATGCTGTACTTTTTTAAAATGATAAGCAATCTATAGTATATTTATATCTAAGCTGTGTGAGGTGTGAGATTTTTTTCTCCCCAAAAATAGCCAATTATTAGAAATATTTTTTTTTACTTTTCCCTCTTTTACATATTAATTTAGAATGCAGCTTCATTGAATTCTAAATTCTATTATATGCATTCATGTGTGGGTTTGTAAACATGCTAGTCTCCTTGATATACTACTAATTTATCCTATGCCAGGATCACCCTGTTAAATTATCATGGTGTTAATGACTATATTTTGATTACCTATAGAATAACTTCCTTCTGATTTTCCTTTTTAAAAAAAATTTTTTTCAAGGTAAAATTATTTTGACTCTTCAAATATATTTATTCTCCAATGAAGTTTAAAATCAGCTCATCAAAGTGAGTTTAAAGATTAGACAGGAATGCTTTCTGTGTGTGTGTGTGTGTGTGTGAGTGTTAATTATAATGTTTGCTGTTGGTTCCTGATAGAAACATTTTATCAAGTTAAATAAGCTTCTTTGTGTTCCTGGATTCCTAAATTTTTTCATTAGCCCCCTTTTTTTAAAACCCAGAATTGGTTGAAATTTATTGAATTGAATTTTATTAAGTGATTTCACATGATGCTGCATATTTTTTCTTTACTAATATAACAGCATCAATTTAATACCTTCCATTATATTAATCTTTAATTTTTTAATGATTCTAAATTTTCTCTGCATTTAAAAAGGTGTTCATTTGATAATCTATTAGATACATATGTTAAACTCTTCTAGAATTGAGTAACATACTTGTGCTCTAAATGTGGGTGTAAAAGTCTGATACTAGTTTTACTTAAAGTATTATTAAACCCTGTGTATCTTTTACAGATTTTTGGAGGCTATTTTGCCTCACTATGTTGTGTATATTTTCACTGGCATGGATGTGGTCACAGTTAAGAAAGATCAGAAATGATAAGTAAAAACTAATTTATTATTAAATATTTGGACAAAACTATGCTTATTCAAAGGATTTAGGGTGTCATTTAAGGGACTGGGTAGGTACTTATGGGTTTTCCAGAATATCAATCTTTTCCTACTAATTGTAGACTTTCCTCTATTTATTTCAATTACCAGAATTACTATGCTCAGTCTGGATCCCTTTAATTTGTTCATAATTGAACTTGTGTGGGTGTTGAGTTGGAAGCTCTCAGAAGCTGAACAACACAGCTGCCTTTCTGGCCTTTGGCATAGGGTTTCTCCCCAAAGAGCTGCCCCTATTGGCAGTATGCCAAGAAGTTGCATTCAAAGACTTTTTGATGAGGCATAAAAATCTTTAATTTCCAGGCTTGGTATTTTATGACCCCATAATACTGTTTAAGAATTAGTCTCAATTATTCAAGGGACAGCACTTCACTATTCTGGCCCCTTTGTTGACCTAATCTATAGCCCCATTCAAAGTTGAGTTTAAAACACAATTTCCTGCAAGATTGTTTTAAAGAGTTTTCTGTCCTGTTTCAAATCGGGCTAACACTCCTGCCTCAGAAGGGCGTCTGTGACACACTTAGGAGATGCTGGGGCAATGCAGATGGAAGATGCTGGCCAGCTGTCTTGCCTCTGTTCAATGAGAGGAAATGAGCCTGGAGTGACGCGAGAGGTGTTAGACGAAATGTTAGGAAGTTTCCTGACAATGAAGATTGTTAACATTCCATGTTCTCTCATCTCTTAGGAAAAATGCATGTGTCTTGAATAATTCTCCCTGAAATAGAGAGCAAAGATAGACTGGCTGATTGTCTCTCAAGATGTGTGATGCAGCAATTCTATTTTCTGTTAATTTCTCATTCTAGTTTTTTTAAGTTAGAAAATGTTTGTAGACACCCAGAGTTGAAATAAATTATAAATCAACTGATTTGTTATAGCTGTAAAGATAAATATTTGGGGTATATTTTGAATATAATCCTTCCATACATGTCAAATAGTCCATTCAGAGAGTAATTTGGCATCTCTAGTATCAGATCAAAGAT